CTTTCCTTTCCTTCTTTCCTTTCCTTCTTTCCTTTCCTTCTTTCCTTTCCTTCTCCTTTCCTTCCCTCTTCCTCCCTCCCTCCCTCCCTTTTCACATTTCTAAACCCTTTTGGTGTTTTCTGCTGGAAAAAAATGACAAAAATGTCACAAATCTCAGTTTTGGTCTTGCCAAGAATACCTGCCTACATATATTCCATTCTTCACACTTCACTTCACAAAGTGGATTTTGGTTTATGAAAATTTATATGTGATAATAAATTAGTTAGCTCAAATTTCATGTGAATCTTTGCTGGTTTATCATTCGCAGGACAATGCCATTAAGACGGCTAAGTACAACTTTTTCACTTTTCTCCCTCTCAACTTGTATGAACAATTTCACCGGATGGCTAATGTATACTTCTTGTTCATGATTCTTTTGCAGGTAAGAGGGGTCTTTATTCCGTTCTTAGTTAGCAGCATTTCTTTTTACTTTTTTATAAGCTGTTCTGAGGCACCAAAGGCTGCGCGCTCTCTAAAGAGATTCTATTTCCAGTCAGTTTTTTAAAAATATGGCATCCTTTGGTGTGAGGCAAGAATCAAGATGGACGCTGCAATCACATGGTTGAAGCCCCACCCCATTTTAACATGCATCACACATGTGAACAAGAGGTAGAGCTGTCAGCCTTATGAGGTAGACCAGTCTTAGGAAACACAACCAGATGAGTTAAGTCTAATTAGAATTAAGTAGAAGAGTAAAAGTATATTTTACAAGTCTAAAAGTACATTTCTTCCCCTGTCTCAGAAACTTGAGAGAGTCTCTTCTGAGCTTCTTGCCCTCCCAGTTTTCTACTGAGGGCTAAGTGGCCTTTTATCTGTCATTGCCTTGGTGGAATCTCTTTGCTCTGTCTTCCAAGGCCATTTTCACATAATGTTACAGGATCTTCAGTCTCATGGCCAAACTTGCCATCCTGAAGCTTTGGAATCACTTTCCAGAGCATCCCCAGTGTGAGACAAAAAAAGAAAAAGTGAGAAATCACACCACTCAAATTTGGCCATTCTGCCACCAAAACTGAGTGTGAACTTGAATGACTCGAAGCTGGAAGTAAGGATTGCGTGTGGCTGGATGGTATTGGTGCTTACCAGATTGAAGTTTGAGGTTAATGGGGATTTGAACAAGCTTTTGTTTGAAATGGTATAGGTCCTGTTGCTTGAATAGAGGATTGGACTAGAACCTCCAAGACCTCTTCCAACTCTTTTATTCTGTTACTAATTTTGGCTTTTAATTTTTCCTCATCTTTAGTTATAGATGAATCCTATTCTGTTAGGAAAATTGCATTTATAGTTTTGTCATGTCTCACAAATTGTCAAGGTATTTTTCAAGGGCGACTCAACATTATTGCTTGGGAAGTTGGAGTGCTCAAATTACTATTTTTCCAGATTTTTGCAATGTATTACAACTTGTAAATTACTGAGCAAACAAAACAGAAGCTTAAGGAGTTTGTATATTTAATTTTGAAGACAAAGGATCCTCGTAGTGATAACTCTTTCAAACACCCTTATTTCCTGTTCCTTGCCCGCCTTCCTAGCTTGGTGGGGTAGATATACAGATCTATGTAGAACAAGCTTCTACATCAGTGAAGTGGGCAGGATGCTAATTAATCTTATCAGATCTACCTTGGGGTAAGAGTCTGTTGTGCCTGTGAACCTCAAGGCCTCTGCTTTGCTTACTTGTCTGGTCTTGCTTGTACAACAAGAATAGAGGAAGTCCTTGATTTATTGCCTCAACTGAGCCCAAAATTTCTGTGGCTAAGCAAAACAGTTTTTAAGTGAATATTGCCCCATTTTATGACCTTTCTTGCCATGGTTGTTAAGTGAATCACTGAAATTGTTAAGTTAGTAACAAGGTTGTTAAGTGAATCTGGTTTTCCCCATTATTTTTGCTTGTCAGAAGGTTGCAAAAGATGATCACATGACCCAGGGACGCTGCAACCGTCATAAATATGAGGCACTTGTCAAGCTTCTGAATGTTGATCACATGACCATGGGGATGCTGCAGCGGTCCTAAGTGCGAAAAATGGTCCTAAGTTATTTTTCTTTTTTTGTTGTAACTTTGAACGGTCATTAAATGAACTCTTGTATAAATGTCCTGTTTCGACTCGGCTTTCCCTAAATGGAAGGAATGCCTTGTTCCTGCTGAAGATATTAATGCAAAGTTCTCCCTTTTAGCCTCCTTTGTGATAAGAAAAGTTTCCCTTTGCCTTCTATTACAGTCCTGCATCCAGTTTTGTTCACCACATTATAAAAAAGATGTTGAGACTCTAGAAAAAGTGCAGAGAAGAGCAACCAGGATGATGAGGGGACTGAAGACTAAAACATATGAAGAACGGTTACAGGAACTGGGCCTGGCTAGTCTAGTGAAGAGAAGGACCAGGGGAGACATGATAGCAATCTTCCAATATTTGAGGGGCTGCCACAGGGAGGAAGGGGGTCAAGCTATTTTCTAAAGTGTGTGTAGGCCAGACAAGGGACAATGGATGGAAACTGAGCAAGGAGAGATTCAACCTGGAAACAAGGAGAAACTTTCTGACAGTGAGAACAATCAACCCATGGAACAGAAGTTGCCCTCGGAAGTTGTGGGAGCTTCATCACTTGAGACTTTCAAGAAGAGATTGGACTCCCATCTGTCAGAAATGGTGTAGGGTCTCCTGCTTGGGCGGCGGGGTTGGACTAGATGACCTACAAAGTCCCTTCCAAGTCCGATTATGTTATTATTATCTGTTATTATCTGTTATCTGTTACAGACCTTCCCACAGATCTCCACACTGCCTTGGTTTGCACTCCTCTTTCCCCTGTGTATCTTGCTCTCCATCAGAGGCATCCGTGATTTAATTGATGATGTTGTAAGTATTTGTTTTCAGCACCTGCGAAGGCATCCGTCTAACTGGATGACTTTTGTAATCTCTTGGAGGAGGATAGTAGGATCATTCTGTAGCAGATGAGTTTATCAGATTCATGGGAGGGGGGGGGGTAGAGAGAGGGGAAAGAAACTCAACTATCTAGACAGGATGCTACCATTCTGGAGGGGGAGGGGGCAGGTTGCTAGAGCCGGATTTCTTGCATGGCTTTTGCTGTAACGCGTGGGATTTAGGGAGGGGCTTCCTCCCAGCCAGAGCTAGATTACCAAGGTGGCAGTGCCCTGAGAGTGAACTGCTATCCAGAGGTGGTATTCAGCAGGTTCTGACCAGTTCTGGAGAACCAGTAGTGGAAATTTGGAGTAGTTTGAAGAACCGGCCAATACCACCTCTGACTGGCCCTGCCCCCATCTATTCTCTGTCTCCCGAGTCCCAGCTGATTGGCTGGGTCTTCTTTGGTTGCCCTGCACAGGAGAACGGAGCTGGAAAGCAGGTTAGTGGGGTGGGAAGGGAATGGGGATTTTGCAGTAACCTTTCCCTGCCATGCCCACCAAGCCACGCCATGCCCACCAAGCCACACCCACGGAACTGGTAGTAAAATTTTTTGAATCCCATCACTGCTGCTATCAAGTTAATATCTTGGAGTTCTCAAAACACCCTTGTGGCATATTGTTGGCAACTGGTGGACTGGAAGATTGGGGTGTGGTTGTTGTTTGAAGAGGGAAAATTAGCTTAACGCTTTACGCGGAAACTTCAGGTTCTGCCTGACTTTTCTGCAATCACTGGCACTCCATTAAACCCATTTCAAGAGTCATGCTTTCTTGAATAAAGATAGCTAAGGCAGGTCCTTTTCCTGTTTGACAACTTTAACATCTATGGACTTCATCTTCAACTCCAACTCCAACTCCCAACGCCTGGGCTATGGAGATTCTCAGTCATCCAAGTCATGGTTGTCCCAAAGGGGCTTTTTCTAAATGGTAAATTGACTCTGTCCTTGAAGGCATTTCATCCAAGAAGCTTCTTCAGTTCTGACTGAAGGATTTATGTTCCTTGCGGTCATCTGGTCGTTAGCATTCAGAATGATAAGGCGAGGAGTGAAACTTCTTCAAGAAAAAACAAAGTCCAGTTGCCTTTTGAAAAAGTCCCTTTGGGACCATGCGTGGGGTGCCGAATTCTGGGAGTTAAGGTCCACGCATCTTAAAGTTGTCAAGTTTGAAAAACAGTGATGTAGAAATCAGGTCATTTTTGGCACTAATCTTTGTTTTAAGACCCCTCATTGGCTCTATATCACGCAGAGAAATAAAGGTAAGGTTGTTAGTGTTTTTAATCAATGACAAACCTCTAATGAGGCCCTCTGTGTGTTATTTTGAAGTGGAACTGTAGAGGAAACTATTGTAGTAAACTACCTGATTGAAGGCCAGGATCCTTGTTCATTTCTCTTTACTTCTTATTTGAGCATAACTAGAACAGAAGGAATTTGTTTTAAGCCCCTAACTCACCAGGATTCAGACTGAAGGATTTAAGGGCACCTTCCCAAAACTTTAATAGTTTTTGACTGTAAGCAGTAAGGACAACCTACCTTCAGAAGAATCTACCTGCATTTTGGGTCTGCACCGGATAGTTAGGTTAACACAGGTACTATGTATTTTAATTTGACTTATTTGCTATGTTCAGGCTGAACTGTTTTTGATACTGGACTTTGTTATTGGGTTATCCCTGGACTGTACACTGACTGCCTTACCTGTGAATGACTTTGGACTACTTATTTTGAACTTTGCTTAAACGTTTCTGGAAGTAAAAACCTACATTTACTGTACAGTGTATCTGTGTGCTATGTGTGTATTATTCAAACACTTCTCTCAATTACGTCTCCCTGTAGGCGCTCATTCTCCTAATGGGGAATTACCTCAACAAGGTAGTTTTATCCTGCTCAACTGGAGAAAATTATATATATATTTAAAATATATTAAAATATAACAGTTAAAATATAGCATTTAATTCTTGGATCCCCTGGGATAATCCCCTGGGATTCTCAGGTTGACCAAAGCTAAATGAACCACATTTTACAAGGTTATCTTCATCCAGAAAAGGCAAAAGAAGGTCAGGTACTTATCTAGCATTTCAAAAGCCCATTTCCTGTATTCTTTGTATTAACTTTTCATAATTTGATGGAAGTATATTTCACATTCCACATTTAATATTTCACATTCCACATTTGGTGGAATGCGAGATGAGAGTTTCTGGTCAGAGGGCTGGTAATATTTGATTTTGGATTAAAGCAGCATTTCTCAAACTTGGCATGCTTTCTTGGAGCTGAAGTTTATATATCTGCCAAGTTTAAGAAACCTTGGATTAGGTGACGTCCTGGATGAACAGATGCTCAGTGTACCAATGCATTTCACGCATTCTTTTTTGCTTCTCAGGCACGACACAAAAGTGATGGGGAAATCAACAACCGACCTTGTGAGATCTTGACAGGTGGAAGGTAAGCCAACCTGGAAGATGCTTTCAGAAACATGTTAACCTCCTTTGAGAAGCACTGTCCTTTTAAGTAAGAGAATAAAGTCGGAGAACAGGGGATAACTAATACTTTTTTGAACTTATATTCTTCTTGGAAGTTATTAATAGTCATGAGCTTCCTGGAATGGGATAGCAAGTCATGGGCAAATACAGAGACCTTCAAGGCATTGCCAAAAGACCTATATTAGAATAAGTAGCGATGGCTTAATACTGAAAAAAATGGGATGTGATCTTCTACCGGACTAGTGATTGATGGGAATCACCCAAAGAAGATAGCAATAGCACTTAGACGAAGCTTCTTGGACGAGAAGCAATATGTCTTCAAACAAAAACCAGAGAATCCAGTTACCTTTTGAAAAAATCACTTTTGGGACAACCATGAGCTAGATGACTGAGAATCTCCATAGACAATAGGCTTACGTACCATTTCATAGTGCTTTACTGCCCTCTCTAAGTGGTTTACAGAGTCAGAATTTTGCCCCCAACAATCTGGATCCTCATTTTAATGACCTCAGAAGGATGGAAGGCTGAGTCAATCTTGAGTCCGTCAGGATCGAACTCCTGGCAGTGAGTAGAATTAGCCTGCAGTATTTCATTCTAACCACTGCACCACCAGGGCTCATAAGGTCAATGGCTTGATTGACTTGATCATTATTACTTTTTCCAATGGCACTGAATCATCAGGCAGCAACACCCAAGCAAGCCACAAGAAACAGGGAGAGTGGAGATCTGTGGGCCTTTATCTCTCACGGTATCACATTTCATGCTTAAAATGCTTGCCTGCAAAAAATGAACTTGGTGTCAAATGTTGACATCTTCCTATAAGTGTCTAGAGGTGTGTGCAAAGAACATCTGTGACTTCAATTATTTACAACTATAGTAGGGCAAGCTGATATGAGGGCAACTTGGAGTGAATTTCTTCAGTGAGGGGAAACATTCTCCAACAACTCTTTTAAGACTTTTTCCAGTTTTAAAACTTTATTAATTTTAAAAAAATAGAATAAAAAAGAAAAGGTGTTAAAAAGGGGTAAAGGCATAACAACAAAAAAAAAAAAAACAGGGTACAAGTAACAAGAACAAAAACTATATAAAAAAACTATCTTCCGTCTTTTTTTGATGCTGTTCTGACCCAAACCTGTTCTGTTCCAAGTAAACAAACACCAAACAGAGATAAAAGCAACACCTTTTAATGCTTCTCTGCGAATTTCCGTTAATTCACGGTTAAAAGGCTATTAAAACTAATTGTCTCTGATAAGAACGAGCCTTGCCAAGGTTTGCAAGGCTGCCAAAAGCACTAGATTAAGTTGCCAAGAAATATTCCAAGCAAAAAGTTTTCAAACACAAACCAAGATAGTCCGAACTTCCACAAGGCTTGCAGTGCAGGAACTTCTTTGCTTCCTGCAAAGAATACTGGTCTCTTAGGCTGGCTTTTATCTCTTAAGGGAGGGGCCATTACCTTGCAGCCTTACTCCTGAGTCGCCCATGCTGCTGTAGCTGCTCTTTCCTACAAGCAGCCCTGCACTCATCCGCACTGGGCACAGGCTCCTCGGGGGCCTCTTCATCATTGCTGCCAGCCTCCACAATCTCCGAAGGCATCACTCTACTCCCTGTTGGTCCTGGCCCCATCCCTACATCACACGTAGGCCCCTCATCTGAGTCCTCACTCACCGAGACCTCAGCCATCCACACCTGCCGCCGGTGAACCACAATGGATACAGATAAAAATCAGTAAATCAATCACCCTTGAATTACAATATACCATAACAAATAGTACCTCTATCACCATAAACCTATCAATCATCAAAACCCAGACCTCATTTTTATCAGTTTTGGTCAAAAATTCCAGGAGTTTGTTTCTAGGTAGAAACGAAGCAAGATAAAGACTTTTCTTTAACCAAAGCATCCAATTTTGCCATTTCTCTATTCTTGAGAATAGTATTCACTGCAAATTCACCTTTTTGCTTTCCTGAGCTTTTTAGTTTGTTGACACAAGTCCCATAAAGTGGATTTATTTATTTTATTTGTATTTATTTATTAACTTGTATTTTGCCTTTAATATTTTTACTAATAACTCAAGGAGGTGAACATATCCAACACACTTTGCTCCTCCTATTTTCCCCACAACAACAGTTCTGTGATGTGGGCTGGGGTTGAGAGAATGTGATTGGCCCAAAGTCACTCAGCTGATTTTCCTGGCTAAGGTGATCTCCTGTCCCAAAGGTGCTTTTTCAGAAGGCAACTGGACTTTCTTGTTTTTTCTTTGAAGATGTTTCGCTTCTCATCCAAGAAGTTTCTTCAGCTCTAACAAGATGGTGGGAATGGAAGGAACTTTATTCCTTGTAGACAGCTGGTCATTTGCATCCTTTTAGAGGGTCGTTGAAGCACTTGGAGGTTTAGCTGTGTCCTCAAGGTCACCTGAGTAAAGTTCCTGGTTCCTGTAGTCTGCAATTTTTCCTCTGGAAATAGAGGCCTACAGGAACCAAATTGCAGACTACAGAAATCAGGAGCATTACTCAGGTGACCTTGAGGACACAGGTAAATCTCTACGTGCTTCAATGACCCTCTAAAAGGATGCAAATGACCAACTGACTGCAAGGAATATAAATCCTTCTATTCCCCACCATCCAGTCAGAGCTGAAGAAGCTTCTTGGATGAGAAGCAAAACGTCTTCAAAGAAAAAACAAAGTCCAGTTGCCTCTTGAAAAAGCACTTTTGGGACAGCCATGACCTGAATGACTGAGATTGTCTACAGACTTTTGCAAGCTCCTGCTTTCTAGACTGGTGATTTAACCACTAGACCAAACTTTTCTTATCGATTATCTTTCCCATATTCCCAGTTTCTGCAAAATGAAATGGTGCAATATACAAGTGGGTGATATCATTTGCCTCCACAAGGATAGCTTCGTACCGGTAAGAATTTGTCTTTTCCTGTCTTTTAATCAAGGCTGCCCCCCAGATAACATTTTAAATTCTCAAGAGACAAAATCATAGTTGAGCTTCCATCAGGATCGTTTTACTTTTCCAGCAAGTTGCCAAGATTGAAATGAAAGGCGAGGATTAGAGGCGGGCACCAAATTTCTTGACTATGTACCGAACAAGCAAAATGTTTTTGGCGAGATGATTTCAAGAGCGGTTAAAAATATTGAGATCCTTAAAGAATTATGTCTTCTAATTATGGCAACTCTGTTTCGGTTCAGAACAGAAGAGCAGAGTTTTGAAAACTTTTGTGTTTGCAAATCTCCATCTTTAGATTGGATCCAGAGGTTGGAAGGGAATGTCCTTTGTCCTACAAAGGCTTGTGTAAAATTGCTGGTGGAAAATAACAGGTTTTAACATGCTTCCCATCGTTTGCACGGTGATGGTGTTTTGTGTATAACTGGACCTGAAATCACAAAATCCATCCAGGGCTACAGTCATCTAGACCCGTGATGGCGAACCTATGGCATGCGTGCCACAAGTGGCATGCAGAGCCATTTGTGCCGGCACATGAGCTGCAGGCAAGCTTACCTCACTGCGCACGTGTGTGCCTCACAGCTAATTTTCGGCTGGTTTGAGGCCTTTTTCGGCCTCTCAGAAGCTTCAGGAAGGCTTCTGCAGGCTTTTCAGGCCAAAAACTAGGCCCGTTTTGTCACTACCCGTTTTTCCAGAAGTACCAGAAATAACAAAACAGGCCTAGTTTTTGGCCTGAAAAGCCTGCAGAAACCTTCCTGAAGGCTCTGGGAGGCCGAAAAAGGCCCCAAACTAGCCCAAAATCAGCCATGAGGCACAGTGCAGGTAAGGGGGTGGCGTGGGTAGGTGGGGATTACATGAGCATGCGTAGGGGGCCTGGGGGGGCACTTATTGTCTTTTGGATGCTGGCACGCAAGTGTGAGCGTGCAAGCATGTGCACAATTTTTGGCACAGGAGCCCAAAAAGGTTAGCCACCACTGATCTAGACAGTTACAATCTACTTTAAAAAAAAAAAAATCTTATTTTTTTAAAAAAAACTTCCCCAAAGAAGGCAATGGAAAACAAATACAATATTTTATTTATTTGATTTTTGTCCTGCCTATTATTTTATTAGTCTTTCACAGTGAATAAATACATATCGTAATATTCCTTCCTCCTGTTTTCCTCATATCAACAGTATGAGGTGGATTGGGCTGAGGGAGAGGAACTTGCTCAAAGTCTTGCAGTTGGCTTTCATGCCTAAGGTGGGACTAGAACTCCCTGTCTCCTGGTATTTGGCCCAAAGTCACCCAGTCGCTTTTCATGCCAAAAATGGGACTACAAGTCATAGTCTTCCAGTTTCTAGGCCGGCATCTTATCCATCGTACCGAAGTGGCTCTCGTATTTCAGTCTGAATTTACCTATAATTTTAGAATCACTGAATATTCTCACTTTTCTCAATTTCACCGTTCTGCAGTTCACCCTTATCAGGAAAAACTATATGAAAACTATATGTATTTATTTATTTGTATAATTTATAGGTGGCCCATCTGACCTCAAGGTAACTCACAGCAACATATTACATGCACTAGGGGAAATAGTTTCTTAAAACTGCATCATTATCAAATTACCAACTAAAGTCTCTGACTTTGGAGAACTGTGGACAATTGAACTGATGGTATACAGCTAGTCCTCAACTTATAATCACAATTGGGACTGGCATTTCCATCGTAAGTCATTGCTGTTATAAGTTGAGTGAGGCCTGATTTTATTACAAGTTTTACTTCAATCATTAAGTGAGTCATTGAAGTCGTTAAGTGAATCGTTGCAGCCATTAAGTGAATCTTGCGATGGTTAAGGGCTTGGAGAATCCATTTGCATTGTCCAGTTGTCAAATTCCATGTATAGGTAATTCTCACGTATGCGCCCAATACGTGCACATCCCTTGCACATGCGCATACATCCCTGGCATGCGCATGTGCCCTATGCATGCACCCCATCCCCATGCATGTGCCCCATCCCCTACACATGCATGCATGTTCCAGCGCATGCCCCCTGCCCCCCATGCATGCATGTGCATCCCCTCACAGATGTCCCACCTCCGCACATGTGCACACATCCCCATACATGCGCCCCGTACCCGTGCATGCATGTATACCCCTCGCACATGCGCCCTGTGCCCCCACATGCACGGCAGAGACCTGAAGACCAACTGGCCAGTGAGAGACATGCGCATGCATGCATAGTAGAGCTGAGCTGGGGCGATGGCTCGTGTGCCCACAGAGTTTGCCATCACGGGCCTAGGACAGCATTATGTTGGAGATGTAATAAAGACAATGCTTCTTTAAAACATGTTTTTACAAAGTCTTATATTTACTAAGCTTTGACAGAAAGTAGTGGATAATATTAATGTGATAAATGTCACGCATCCAGGAAGTATCCATGATGTCAGTCACTCCGAGACGTTATCTCTCCAATTGATTTATTAGGAACAGATCTGGCATGTTCAAAAGCAATTTCCCAAGTGAAAGTTTTTTGGCACGTTACACAGAACCCACTTTCTCTCCTCCCTTCTCCCCTCCCACTTCTACACTTCATAAATCACGAGAACCAATTAACTGCAACTGGAAATTCTTAATACGACACACAGAATAACCTTGAACTTTTCAACTTCTCTAACTCTCAAAAAAAAAATGTGGCAGCTGAATTTCAAAGCTGACAATAAAAGCCAAAATTTTCAGAAGATGGATCTATCAACAAAGCTCTCTGCTTTTTTTTTCCAGGCTGACCTCCTTTTACTCTCCAGTTCTGAACCAAACAGCCTCTGCTATGTGGAGACCATGGACATAGATGGGTAATGTCTTTGCTTGTTATTTTTAATAGAACAGTACAGAATAGAATGGAATGGAATGGAATAGAATGGAACAAAACGGAACAGAATAGGATTCTTTATTGGCCAAGTGTGATTGGACGCACAAGGAACTTATCTCCGGTGCATAAGCTCTTAGTATACATACAACTTGATACAAACAATAAGTGATCAGTCATGATCATAGTCATCATAAAAATACATTCATCATCAATTATAAGATACAACACTTAGTGATAGTCACAGGATACGAAAGAAGCAATCGACATAAATCATTCTAGGATATTAAGAAAACAATATAAATCGTAAGATGCAAGCAACGAAGATCAGGTTTGATTGCCCTGTCATTATGCATAGAATACGAACCTTCTCAAATACTGGCTGGGGAATTCTGGGAATTGAAGTCCATACATCTTAAAGTTCCCAAGGTTGAAAAATGCTGATATAGATTTTCCACACATCAAAGGTGTTCTTGGATAGGGGATAGAATAAGGGCAAAAAAAATCATTTTGATACCAGTTAACCAATTATTTAGTTAAAGATGATTTCAACTTGTTTCATTCCTCGCATAGGGAATAATTGAAGATAATGTAGGAAATAATTTTGCCAAGACACATGCTCTGGTTAGATGCCAGTAGAGGAACATATTAAATTAATTAATTTAAATTAATTAATTTCGATGAAACAGCGTTGCTCTATGCACATGAATGCAGGTAGTCCTTGACTTACAGCACAGTTGACACCAGAATTTCCATTGCTACACAGGGTGGTTGTTGAGTGAGTTGTGCTTAATTTTATGACCTGTTTTGCCATGGTTGTTAAGTGAATCACTGCAGTTGTTAAGTGAATCCCTCAGTCATTAAGTGACTCCAGTTCTCCCCCTTGACTTTCCTTCTCAGAAGCTGGCTGGGATGGTCACAAATGGCAATCCCATAACCCAAGGACGTTACCACCATCATAACAGACAACAGATAATCAGAATTAGAAGGGACCTTGTAGGTCATCTCGTCCAACCTCCTGCCCAGGCAGGAGACCCTACACCATTTCTGACAAATGGTAGTCCAATCTCTTCTTGAAGTTCCCACAACTTCACTTAACTAAGTTACTCATTTAATAATTGCAGTCATTCACTTAAGAAATCTGGTAAGAAAAGCTATAAAATGGGGCAAGTCACTTCACAATACAAATTCTGGGCTCAATTGTGCTCATAAATCAAGGACTACCTGTATTTTTAATCACATGACCATGGGATGCTGCATCTGTCAAAAGTGTGACGACTGGTTGTAAGTCAAGTTTTTCAATGCCGTTGTAACTTTGGACACTGAATAAATGGTTGTTAAGTGAAGGACCACTGTAGAAATCCAAGGCAAATAGCACATACTCCCATCCCAGCCTTCATTTAAGAAATGCTCTCCATTAAATTTAAATTGAAACAATACAATACAATACTACAATACAAAAGCACCACTCATTTTCCAGTTTTTAAGCTGACTCCACTCTGCTTTTTTTCAGAGAGACTAACCTGAAATACAGACAAGCTCTCCTGGTAACACACGAGCAGCTGACCTCTATGGAGGACATGGCTGCCTTTGACGGTCAGTGTTTCTGCTAGTCCTTCCTTTTCATTTTCAGAAATGGTTCCTTGGGAGTGGTGGTTTCATTTATGATTAGCCTGGTTCTACTGGGGTTTGTCATTCAGAAAGGTCGGCAGTTTGGCGGTTTGAATCCCTTGTGCCACGTCACCAAGTGAGCTCCCGTTACTTGTCCCAGCCTCCGCCAACCTAGCAGTTTGAAAGCATGTAAACCATGCAAGTAGAAAAATAGGGACCACTTTGGTGGGAAGGTAACAGCGTTCCGTGCACCTTTGGTGTTTAGTCATGCCAGCCACATGACCATGGAGACGTCTTCGGACAGCGCTGGCTCTTCAGCTTTGCAACAGAGATGAGCACCGCCCCCTAGAGATGGAAACGACTTGTATGTATGTGCGAGGGGAACCTTTACCTTACTGGGGTTTTACATGATTTAAAGAATACTGTAATTGAATTCTCTTTCCTTTGCTATTAAAGTTTTGATCTTATACATGACTTTAGAAGAGACATATTTCACGGAGGAAAATTGAAAAAAAACATATATATCCCGGTTGGAATAAAGGCACCATTTTAACACGAATGCTAAAATAGGTGATGGGAGTGCAGGAAAAAGAGGGTTTGTTTACAGATGACAAGCAGGTGAGCCAGTTTCTCTTTCCAACTGTCCAGGTGAGGTGGTCTGTGAAGAGCCAAACAGCCGGTTACACAACTTTATCGGTACCTTAGAGTGGCACGGAGAGAAATACCCTCTTGATTATGAGAAAATCCTGTTGCGTGGCTGTAGAGTGCGTAACACAGAGGTCTGCTACGGCCTTGTTATTTATGCAGGTAAGTGAGCAAGATCAGGCTTGCTTTTCATGGAATCAAGGTTGGAAGGGACCTCTGAAGTCATCTAGCCCAACCCTGCTGCACAAGGCAACATCTTGATGCAGCTTTAACAGTGGAACTTTTGCAATTTAGTGTCCTTGTGGCAATGTGTCATTGCGGTCTCTCTCCAGCAAAAAAAAATCTATTCATCCATCCATCCATCCAACCAACCATCCAGCCAGGGGTGGGATTCAAATTTTTAAACAACTGGTTCTGTGGGCGTGGCTTAGGTGGTAGGCATGGCTTGGGGGTCATTTGACTGGGTGGACATGACTTGATGGTCACGTTATTGGCTGGGTGTGGCCAACTCAATATCACATCAAGGCACGCATCTCCTCGCCTGGCCTCTCATGACTGTGGGGATGCTGCAACAGTTGTAAGTGTGAAAAATGACCATAAGTCACTTTTTTCAGTGCCATTGTAACTTTGAATGGTCACTCCACACAAGCAAAGTACCAGCAAAGGAGGGGGAAAAAAAAACTCCAGAGACGTTCCTGAGACAGGAAGTCTAGTCCTGCCAAGAATGTAATAAGGGTTAATGGAGAGGCAGTTTCTGTAAGCAACACCAGAATGTTTCCTTCCTGCCTTCCTTACAGGATTAGGCCAGTAATTTCTTCTAACAACTGGTTCTCCGAACTGCTTAGAATATTAACAACCGGTTCTAGTGAATAGGTGCAAACTGGTAGAATCCCACCCCTGCATCCAACCAACCAACCAACCAACCAACCAATCAACTAACTAACTAACTATCTGTTGGACAACCATTTGTCCGAAATGATATAGGGCAGCGGTGGCTAACCTTTTTGGGCTCCTGTGCAGAAAATTGCACCCGCGCACACTCCTGTACCAGCACCCAGAAGACAATGCATGTGGGGGGGCAATGGCCCCTGCACATGTGCATGTGAACCCCTGTGCGCACCACACATCTCTGTGCATATGTGATCCCCTCATGTGCCATGCATCTCTGCGCACGGACATGCATCTCCCACCCCCCCTCACCCCCCTATGCATGCACACCAGATATGCGACAATCGGCTGTTGGGCGGGCGGCACATGTGCATCCGCAGTGGGGCTCTTCCAAGTGACCTCTCGCATGCCAGCAGAAGTGGTTCTGTGTGCCACTTCCAGCATGCATGCCATAGGTTCACCATCATGGATATAGGGTTTCTTGCATAAGCAGGGGGTTGGACTAGAAGACCTCCAAGATCCCTTCCAATTCTGTTGTTCTGTTCTGTTCTGTTCTGTTCTATTCTATCATCAATCCATCCATCTATTATCATCTCCCTCCTGCCCCCTCTCCCAAGGAAGAGTATTCATCATCCATAGAGAAATATTTCCTAAAGTTTTCCAAATCCCGCTTCTCTGTAACTGTCTGTCTTGCTGTTCAGAGAAACAGGAAATAAAATTATTCTAACTTCTTCTCTTCAGCAGCTGGCCAGAGACATCTGGAGGGATAAAGACCACTAATCAGGGGTGCCACAAAAGCCACTTTCCATTTTAATTGGAGATGGATTGACCAGCTTTATGTTTGTAATCCAAGGTTTTCCAAATTAGGGGACTTTAAGGCATGTGGACTCCAACTCCCAGAATTCCTTAGCCAGCCACGGGAATTCTGGGAGTTGAAATCCATGCATCTATTTTAAAAGTTTCAAGGTCGAGCAACCTTGTTCTAATCCTTTCTTCTACAGTATAGATGTTTCCATAATTTTTAACAAGCTCCGGTCTACTTCTTTCAACTGAACTTTTCTTTTGGATGATATGCCAGATCACTTCTGTGGCATATTTGCCCTTTTCTGCCCTTTTTTCTACATTTACTCAAGTGGGAAGTGTTAAAGCAACTGACTGATCATACCAGTTCATGCTATCTGGGCTCTGGATACTCTCAAATAGTATATCTTTTGCTTCACTTGGAACAGCTGCACCAGTGGTGGGATTCAAAAAAATTTTCCTACCGATTCTGTGGGTGTGCTTGGTGGGAGTAGCAAGGGAAGGATACTGTAAAATCTCCAGTCAGAGGTGGTATTTGCCGGTTTTCCAAAGTACTCAAAATTTCCGCTACCAGTTTTCCAGAACTGGTCAGAACCTGCTGAATACCACCTCTGAGCTGCACCCATACCTGTGATGAGATGTGAGGCTTACAATCTGCTTTGAAACTGTTTTAAGAGTTTTTAAATTAAAAACAGCTAGATAAGTAAAGACAGAGGTGGTATTCAGCAGGTTCTGACCAGTTCTGGAGAACCGGTGGCGGACATTTTGAGTAGTTCGGAGAACCTGCAAATACCTCCTCTGACAGGCCCCGCCCCCATCTATTCTCTGCCTCTCATTGAATCCCAGCTGATTGGCTAGGTCTTCTTTTGTTGCCCTGCACAGGAGAACAGAGCTGGAAAGCAGGTTAGTGGGGTGGGGAGGGAAGGGGGATTTTGCAGTGTCCTTCCAACCAGGAGTAGGGAGGGAATGGAGATTCTATAGTAACCTTTCTCTGCCACGCCCACCAAGCCATGCCTACAGAAACATTAATAAAAATTGTTTTGAATCCCACCATTGAGTAAAGGAACCTAACAACCAACCAATCAAGATCAAATAATGTGCTGTCTCTCAATATTATTTCATAATGGAAATTGGGGACAGCCTGTTTGTGCAAAGGTCCACCTGCCCTCAAACATCACCTTAAACTGAGGTGACACAGAACACTGAGTAGTAGCCAATCCGGTTCACACCTACGGGCATCTGGGGATTAGGTTTCTCCTATTGTGGCAGCTGTGTTTATTTTTGTTTTAAATCCAACCATCTCAAATGTCTCATTTCCAGGTTTCGATACCAAAATCATGAAAAATTGTGGAAAGATCACGTTAAAAAAAACAAAACTCTGCCATCTAATGGATCGTCTCGTGCTCATGGTAAAAGTCCCTGCTATTCATGGTCAGGGAGAACAAGAAGGATAAGAAAGGGAAATGGTTCTACCTTGAGTAGGATGGGATGGGATGGGATGGGATGGGAGGAGAGGAGAGGAGAGGAGAGGAGAGGAGAGGAGAGGAGAGGAGAAGAGAAGAGAAGAGAAGAGAAGAGAAGAGAAGAGAAGAGAAGA